CCAGTATTCAAATAGCACCCTAACAATAGTAACATGACTTAAAAAATAACAATGTTATTTGCTATTGTAAGCATAGATGCATTTTCGCCGTTTTCTGACGTCACGAAGATACTGCGTCCTGTGATGTTACAGGTTTTCTATTAACATCTTGCATTGATGACCCCATGTTTTGTTTAATGTTTTGCAAAACGTTTTTAGGAAATTATATATCCATATTATTCAGAAATTTAAAAAGTAACATTATCAACCAACATTACGAATCTAAATTTTAACAAATTGGAACGATAACAACTAGCACGAAGTATGTGTTTCAGTCTACACTTAAAACACGGTGATTGAAGTATCAGTCTACACTTAAAACACAGTGATTGAAGTATCAGTCTACACTTAAAACACAGTGATTGAAGTATCAGTCTACACTTAAAACACAGTGATTGAAGTATCAGTCTACACTTAAAACACAGTGATTGAAGTATCAGTCTACACTTGAAACACAGTGATTGAAGTAGAACGAAAGTCTACACTTAAAACACAGTGATTGAAGTATCAGTCTACACTCAAAACACAGTGATTGAAGTATCAGTCTACACTTAAAACACAGTGATTGAAGTAGAACGAAAGTCTACACTTAAAACACAGTGATTGAAGTATCAGTCTACACTTAAAACACAGTGATTGAAGTATCAGTCTACACTTGAAACACACTGATTGAAGTAGAACGAAATTATCTTTTGACGTGAAAAAGCCTTAACTTTTTCCCAGTTTTCTCCGACAACAAAGTTACTGAAGCAGCAGTGACTAGGGTGGCACTCAGCTACGTTTCTTAAGAAGTCACTCACTTTTCATGGTTCAAAAAACACAATAAGCTGGTCTTCTGTAAATCATTCGCTTTTAGAACAAAAATTTGGCCACATTAAGGATATTTTGTTCAGGAACGCAATGTTAATCATCGAGATTCACTTTAAGCATGTTGATATTTTGTTCAGAAACGCAATATTAATTGTCGAGATTCACTTTAAGCATGCTGAGATTTTGTTTCAGAAACGCAATATTAATTGTCGAGATTCACTTTAAGCATGCTGAGATTTTGTTCAGAAACGCAATATTAATTGTCGAAATTCACTTTATAGCATGTTGACATTTTGTTCAGAAACGCAATATTAATCATCGAGATTCACTTTAAGCATGCTGAAATTTTGTTCAGAAACGCAATATTAATCATCAAGATTCACTTTAAGCATGCTGAGATTTTGTTCAGAAACGCAATATTAATCATTGAGATTCACTTTAAGCATGCTGATATTTTGTTCAGAAACGCAATATTAATTGTCGAGATTCACTTTAAGCATGTTGAGATTTTGTTCAGGAAAGGAACGCAGTAGTAGTTATCAAGATTCATTTTAACCTAAACACTTTTACATGTGGGGGGAGGGGGTCAATTTATAGTTAAAAATAACAAAACCTTTAAATAAATCAGGGCTCTCTGATATTGACTCGTTCAATAGGCTGTTCGAGGGGACTGGAATATTTTTAAACATCGTAAATTGGAAATACTTACGGTCCAGACAGTTAGAACGCTGGTAAAAAAAGACCTCAGATCGGGGCACTAAAGCTCGAGCACCAACGCTAACAACGTCATCACTGCTTAACCAACACCGTGCTGCTGATGGCTGGAAAGTGAACGATCGACAAATAAAGGCTCTTGTCCCATCACACAGAGCTCGGCATTGTTCTGGGCTAAAAGCTGATCGTAAGAGGTCAGGCTGTTGGAGGTCAAGGTCGTTTTTCTGTTCATACTGGCACTGGCCGGGTCCACCTGTGTCTGTACGCAACAATAAATAAATCATTTACATACCAAAATAACGTAGTGATACGAGAAAAAAAAATTATTAGCATTTGAACAGATGCAATTAAATTTCATCACCCTTAGATTTACATCAGGCCCAGTGGTACTTTAGCTGTCGCCTACGCTGCCTATCTGAACACCGGGCCTGATCATTATATATATTCCAAAATACACTGTGTTGACAAAATTAAAATGAAAGATTCGTTTAAGTTGATGAACATCTAAAACTAACTCACTGTCCACACACTGATTCTCGAAATAATCCACGTCCCCAATGGCAGGTCTGAAAGACGAGGGCTGAGAACGCCTATCTTCGGTACTCAGCCGACACTGCTGCAAAGTGTAGTCGTATTCTCCGGAACGGCAAGGGAACACTCGCTCTTGTAAGCACAGCTCTTGACACTCCAATTTGTTGGGTATATCACCTATGACACGATCATCAAATCCAAGCAGCTCTTTTCCCACAACTCGCTCAAAGGCCCATGCCCGTTCACATCCAGAAGCTATGTGACAAGACATATATGCAATTCAACTGTTTCATTTGTTTCAAAAACATTGTTTAACAACTTTAAAACACGTGTTCAAAACCACATTTTATCCATTATTTCTTCCTATGTAACTTGTAGTAACCTTTGCAAACAGACTAATGCCTAAGGACAGTATTGTTTCTTTGTTTAGTTCAATTTGGCGCAAAGCTACTTGAATGCTATCTGCGCTTGCTGGACCTAATTTTGATGTGATAGACTAGAGAGGAGGCAGTTAGTCAACACTACCCACCGCCAACTCTTGGGCTACTCTTTATCAACTAATAGTGGAACTGAATGTCACATTATAACACTTCCACTGTGAAAAGGGCGAGCATGTTCGGAAACAGGTTTTGACCCCGCGACCCATAAATTGCTAGTCGAATGCCCTAGCCACCAGGCTGGATATAACTGTTTCTTTAACTATTTTCAAAGTAATTTGATCTACTGTCAGACGACGTGGTATTTAGTTTAAATGAAAAATAAATAAGAATTAAACAACGATAACTCTTTCTTCATCAGGACTGGACGAATCAAATCGCCAGAAGATTCCATTAACAAACACGCGCTGTTATTTTGAAGAACTAAAGTATTAAAAACGTTTCTTACTGCTGATGGCACAAAATAGATGTCAAACGCCATAATAATCCATAACTGTGATAAGCTGCAGATAGAAATTGAACTGCGATATTGGAAAATATGTGTGGTCTTTTTATTTAAATGAACATTATTTTTTTTAAACTTTGAACTTATCATTTACATTATTTGAAGATAAAGTAACATGAATCACTACAGAAACACAAATTATGAAATGATGAAGTCAATAATTGGTAATTCCATAAATGGAAAGTACCAACGACTGGGATACTTCGTCTAAGCTAGCGACTTAAAGAAACAAATAATTAGAAAAATACCTTTTAAACATATTTTCTCAAAGTAGTTAGCTTTATCAGGAGACGACATTAAACTCTCTCTTCTTCCTTCAGAAATAATATTTAAAGCAAAACATGCTCGTCTGTCATAATTTATCAGGAAAGCTGGACAGTCTGGTGAAGCGCGACATCTGTTGGTACATTCTGCAGTTACTGGATTGTCTGCCTCTCGTGCACTGGGTGCTATGGAATAGAGTGGGGTTTGAACTGCTTCTCGTAAAGTAGTACCAGCAATCTTTTCAAATGATACCGTCCCTCCTATACATTGACCTAGAAGACCAACATACAAACTACTTAAGTTAAGCCAACTTGTAAATAAATTCCACCAACAGAACGTTCTATGTTTATTGTTATTTTTGATTAAAACAGAACAAATAGCTTCCACACTCACATATCATCGCAAGTGCCTAGTTCTTGTATTTACCAAGAGCATCATTTCATAAAAAGCCTGGAGGGGGGGGGGGGGAGGGCAAAGAAGACTCATCGTGGTTGGGCCTTCCAATTCAGTTGAAGACCCTCTGATATGGCGTAATTTGAGTATATGTGTTAATCTGATCTGACAAGAAATGTCTCACGGAAACAGCTGGGGGGACCCTTCTAAGCTTGAGGGGAGAGGCGGCCCCTACCTCCCAAAATGACGCCTCTGGTATTTACTACAAAACAAAACTTTTAATTTAAATAGATCTTAAGTACTTGGAAAAAATTTAACGTTTTTCAATATTCTTAAAGCTTACCAACTTAGTAGGTATCTAATATCAATGTTTGCATTCTGTCTTAGTTATCGCTTTGAAGATACCAATACTTACAAGTATTTTTATAAATTTTACATTTTGTTCATCATAATGGGGGAAAAGTATTTAGTTGGAATAAATTGTTAATGACGTCATGACGGGGAAACGCTGCTTAACAACTCGTTCTTCGAAAATTACGCATTTTAATTAAAGCGTTCTGTACCGTACAAAAAAAAAGTTTAATATATCTATTAAATATTTATAAATCGAGTGAATCAGAACAAATCTGGTTTCGTAAAAATCAATTTCATGTATGTTTTAACCCTAAAAATAACGACTGGATCCAATACACTCTATCGGTTAGTAAACACAATTTTTTGAGCTATTTATATAACAATCTGTTTGTGGGTCTATACTTTTGTTACTTACAGGTACAGGGTCTCTAATAACAAAATATGAGTCACACATAAAAATTAAATAAAAAGTAGTGCCAGAATTATTGCAGTTGATCTCACTACCTACTGCTGAAGTCCCGTATGTATTTTATATAGAAAATGGGGGGTTTTACCAAATTTGTTTCGTCAATTCTTTATATTGAGTACTGTAACTGGCAAAATATAAAATTATTCACCAGTAGTGAAAGGTATAAAACCAACTCGGTAAACTGAGGTCTGACATCGATTTGTAAAAACAACCATAGACGATTTCTTTCATTCGAATACTTAAAAGTTGTGTGATTCTTATTTCATTAGTTATGAAGTTGTATGTTGTTAATCCCAATACTACACGTAGGGGCTACCAAGAGTCTAAGTTTTAGTGGTATAAGCCCTCAGACTTAGAACTGAGTCACGGGGTGGGGGGCAAATTATATGAACTTAATGTGTTTTTGAATGTTTTCTATGTCTTACCATAGGTCAGCTGGAGAGTTGATGTTACAAAAACAAATACTAGATGACCACTCAGATATCCTTTTGAAATAGGGAGTATAGTCCAAACATTGCCTTTGTGTTTTGAAGGCATTCTGTGACTGGACACAATTCCTAAATGACAAAAAACAAGAAAATAACTTTTGGTCGTCAATTCAACCTCAATTATTTTTTACACTTCTTTTACATTTGGTTATGTTACTAATAACAAAAAATTCTTAGATCACAATTCATCATGGAAACAAGAAAACTAACAACGATATTTTTCGAGGTTAGGTTTTAAACACAAAGATCGTGTGCTTTTATTTTATTTTCTATATACAACGTTTAACAAAAGGATAGACAGTATGATGTTTTTGAACTAAGCTGAGCCCATTGTAGGTATCGAAGCCGGATTTTTGCGGTTGTAAGCCCTGAGACTTACCGATGAACCACCTGAGGACCCTTTAAGACGTGGCATCCTTTGAACCCTGTTGTAGTCAGGGCGCGTGTTTAGGCTTGCGTGGCTTGTCGTTTTTGGGGGGTGCTCGAGTCGTATAAAATATGACGTTCAGGCGCGCCAAAAAGGCCTTGTGATACGCGAAATACAATAATTGAAGGAAATAGGCAATTAATTCTGACAAACAGCGAAGGCAGTCTGAAGAATTCAAGACAATGGAAACAAGTATTTTCTTTAACTTTCACTAGATTAATCTTTACCATCTAATCTTCACGTGCAGACAGTCATACTCGACTGACTTTAAATATTCGTTTATTTATATGACGGTTTATGTACGCCTTGACCTTCATATGCAGGTTATCCCTTGACCTATCGCCTTTACCTTGACATTGTCACAGACAAGTAACAGCTATATAATACCAGTTGGTTAAGTGTAGTTAGCATCTGCTGATAAAAGAAAATGATCGGAAATGACTCATTGTTGTATAAGACATTCAGCTTCACATTGATATGGTCCACTACAAGTTCTTTTTTTTTTTTCAGCACGTAGGCCTCGTGAAAACGTTTAAACAAATAGTCTTATCTACATAAGGAATTCTGTCACCGAAATAATTAGGAGGAATTTTAGAATTCTTGGCGACTTCTCCACGTGGTTATCAACTTGAAACATCACGTTCTCGTCGTTAGGGTAGAGCGGTATCTGATGTAGACGATTCCGTTATTCTAGATGAAACGTAAATTGGTATAACAGCGACGAAAGCTGATTTCAGATCTTCCCTTGGAGACAGTTAATTTTTTCCTTTATTTTTATGGTTTTTGAATTTTTATAATTATATACACGAATAAGAATAGGCGTTTATGTGGGATCATAATAACGTTATTTTTTGTCGAGCCTCTGCAGTTTAAATAGCGGTATTTCCTCAAAATTCAAAATATTCAAAAATCGATTGCCTCATGAAACATCCCAAGGGACATTCGTGAGAATTTTTAGTTGGCCGAGGGCTTTATAAGTCTAAAAATCGAGGTTCGATCCTTGCGTTCAGACCTTTGTAGATAGCCCATTATGCATCTTTGTGCATAAAACAAACAAAAAAAGAAACGTGTTACTTGTTTCAACTGTACTCTATACAGATAGTTTAGGATGACAGATGCTCTGCTGAAAAAGCACTGAAAATATTGTTACGTCTCC